TGTGGGGATGCAGTTAGGAAGGCCAACTGCACCTTGTCGTGCATCCACAGATGCATCTCGAGCAGGTCCAAGGAGGGGATCCTCCCCCTCTATGCGGCACTGATCAGGCCGCAGTTGGAGTACTGCGTCCAGTTCTGGGCGCCGCACTTCAAGAGGGATGTGGACAACATGGAGAGGGTCCAGAGGAGGGCCACTCGCATGCTCACGGGGCAGCAGGGCAGGCCCTATGAGGAAAGGCTACGGGACCTGAACCTGTTCAGCCTCCAAAAGAGAAGGCTGAGGGGGGATCTAGTGGCCTGTTATAAACTAGTCAGGGGGCACCAGCAGGCACTGGGGGAGTCACTGTTCCCCCGAGCACTACCAGGAGTGACTAGAAATAATGGTCACAAGCTGGCAGAGGGTAAATTCAGGCTAGATATCAGGAGGCGCTACTTCACGGTCAGGGCGGCTAGGATCTGGGACCAACTTCCAAGAGAAGTGGTGCTGGCTCCTACCCTGGGGGTCTTTAAGAGGAGGCTAGATGTATACCTTGCTGGGGTTGTTTGACCTCAGTACTCTTTCCTGCCATGGCAGGGGGTCGGACTTGATGATTTGCTCAGGTCCCTTCTGACCCTACCAACTATGAAACTAGTTTACGTGTCCCAAAATGGCGTCAGACTTCTTTTGTGTTGGGACTGTAAATGCTGCCTCCCCTGTATAGGAGTCTGCTGTGTGCCCTTTCTTTCTTGCATGCCATGGTGTGGCATGCATATAAGGAACTGTTCTGTGTGGACACTCAGATCCAGTGGAGATAAGTGCCTCTAGCAGGCTGGATGAACCCACTGAAAATAATTCAGTGCATTCTTTTCAAATCCTTCTTGCCCCACACATTTTTGCTACTCTCTAAGGTATGATAAGGCTCAGATGTTTCATTCATAGTGCAGTTTCTTTCTCCCTCCCTGGCTCTTTATCACCTTTTACTCTGAGGCTGCAAGGACTGAAGTGGGTTAAAGGATGTCATCTTGAGCACATGTATATACAGATGTGCACTGATAGGGCGCTACCGTTTGCACAGCCTCTGAACCATGGCAGTTCTCGGGATGGCTCAGGTGATGGATGGCTGTATTTTGCAGCTGTGCACTATAAAGCCAGATAATCACAGAGCTCCCTTCTACAGTCGAGGAGATTCTCCTTAGAGAAAATGCTGAATTGCAGAGGATTACAGGATCCTGGCCAAAATCTGGGATGAAACTCTATTTTAAGAAATGCATAAGAAAAAAAACATAACAAAAAAGCAAAAACGCACAAAAAGCCCCAAACAAACAAAGCCTGCAAAACTCAGTAAGAAAATGGTTTGGGATTTATAGAGCAAAGATTAATTGATATACATCCCCCCCACAGAGGAGAAAAATCAGAAGGGAATATTTTGTCTATATGCATTCACTGTTCTCATGTGTACATCTATGTTGGTGTGGTTTGCTGCAGGCCAGCATGTGCATATATTTGCCCTAAAAAATTGTAAGCATACCTGACCATACCTGCACCCCTGTGAAAAATGCCCCCTCTCCCAGAGGCACACAACATGGACAATAACTTGTAACTTGTACAAAAAGTGGCAAGCTCTGGGCTGCACATGTTCTTGGGACACAATTATAGTTATATGTAGGTTAATTCCATCATATGTGCATTGCTGTGATCCACTATATTTCTTGCTACTCCCTCCATGCCACACGTCAAATCACATAAATGGAGAGAGACAGCTATCCAGATGCAACTCTGACAAACAGAAATCCAGGGAAAAGAAAAGATATGGAGAGGAAAGCCACGATCCAGTCGAGTTGATGCATGGAAAATCCCAGAGAAAAGGCTTTTGCTGTAACCGTTCTAAGAAACTCACCCACAGAACATGAAGATTGTGCTGGATGAGGGATCATGTGGCAGAGGAAGGGTCTGCTGGAGACACAGCTGCTCACAGCCACCGTTGAAGCCATCAGAGCAGTCGATCCCTTTGGAGTAGTCATAGCAGCCGGTGCCATCCTTCATGGGCCTCAGCTCCTCTGGACACTGCAGTGAGAGAAAACCCAGTAAGGTAGTTGGCGTGTTTTACCCTCAGAGGTCCCAGGACCAGGGCCTAGCATTTTCTCTGCAAGACACATGGAAGCAACCAGTGTGAAGGACATGGCTCCATGCTCCCATGTAACTCTTCACCCTAGGGAGCTAAATTCCTGACTGGGGTAAGCAGGCTCAGCTCTACTGGAGTCGCATCTCCTTACACCAATGGCACATTCTTCCTGTCATCAATGTAAAAGGAGTCTGTAGGCAACCTTGAATTCAAGTCTCCATGGGTTCATATACTTGAGGAGTAAGCAGAGCTTCATGGATGGAAACAAGCACTGCGCTTGGACACCTGAGTTCTGCTCCTGGTCCTGCTGCTGAGTTACCTCATGCAAATCATTTCACCTCTCTGGGCCTCAGGTGCACAAGACAGCTAACAACAAGGACCCACCATGTGATTTGACCAGCACAACTGGAAAAATCTTCACGCACATTTCATTCATAGCCTGTTCCCAGGAGATGCTGAGTTCCCCCATCTCACATTGCCATTCTGCATTGGGGGCATCTCCCCAAAAGGCCTCCTAGCACTCATGAATGACAATTTTGATACTAAAAAAGATGGGAACATGGTGTACCAAGGGAATCCCAATTAAGGGGCTTTGAGTGAGTTGGATCATGGCTCTACTGAAATCAGGGGGAATTTAGGCCTTGTATTAGCCATTCATTTAAGCTCACAGATGTGTGCTTATCCTTACTCCTATTAATGATTTGGGTCCTCAGCCTTGCTTTTGAAAGTCGTTTCCAGGAAGCATTTTCAATGCATCTTTGTAGCAAGCAAAGTTGTGCAGAGATTCCTGCCACTGCAGCACAGCCCCTTCCAGGTTGTCAGGGAAGATGGAGGACTGTAGAAGGACAGATCCTCCGCTGATGAGAACTGGAGTCACTCCAGCAAAGTCAACAGAGCTAGGCTGATTTGCAACAAGCCAGGAACCTGGTTCTCTGATTTAATTTCAGTTCTCCACCTGGCTTTTCCTGTCCCCAAAGATTAAAACAAGCGAGCACCAAATGCCATCAATTAGCTGTCACTCAGATGAAAGTGCTTTCCCATTCCACCTTTGTTACTTAATTATTTTCTTTCAGCCACACATGCCCCCCGCAACCTTCCCAACACACACACATACACACACACACGCCCTCCAAACAAAAAAGGCAGGTCAGTCCTTGGGAAAAAAAACATCTTGCCTAGGAACAGCTCACAATTAAAAATGCATTACGGCCTTCTTGAAGATGAGTTAGACCCCAGCTTGTACAGGTAGCAATGAAGGCAGGTTATAAATGGCCTCTGTCAAGCAGAAGAAAGGTTATAAAACCGCTATACTTTGTGCTTAAAAAAGAAAATCAATTTTCCATGGGAGCAAAATGTCGTACATATTAATAAAAGTTCAGGAGATCACTGTTCCCACTTTTGCTTGCCACCCGGGCTCCTCTCCGGATACAAGCTGCCAGGCTTGACTGATGG